ATGCACTGTTTATGTGTTCACCTCCACTATGCTGACAGGTAAGCTGAGGGTCAAGGTCTTGTACACACTGCTGGCCACAGAGTCATGGGTCTTCCTGGGTCTGGCACAGCTCAGCATCTCGCTGCCTCCGACTCCAGGGGGTCACAGAGAACATAGGGGGCAGCAGGGGAACCATGACTTGTCTCAAGGACTTAGCTCAGGCTGTTCCCTGAGCAGGTGGCCCAGGTGCCAAAGGAGGGGACACGGCGCCCAGACTCACTTGGACTTGTTGATGGCTCTCTTGAGCTTCTTCTCCAGCTGCCGCATGCGTCCCGTGGCAGCGTTGTATCTGGCGGCAGTCTCCTTGTGCACCAGCTCGCTCCTGGTCTTGGTCTGTTCCGCCTCCATGACCTTCAGATGACAGCAGAGGTCAACTCAGCCACTCACAGAACAATCCCCTGTGCTAACTTTTATGGTTTCAAAAACTCTCCTGAGGAAACGAGTGGGCAGCCAAAGAGATTTAACTAACCGCCAGATAAAACATTTAAAAAGCTTTCTCTTCTGGGGGCCTGCTGTGACAGTGCCCCATCGGGCAAGACTGCAGAGCCCAACTAGTGTGGCGAGAGGAGCGGGGATGAAAAAATGGGGGAAAGGAAGATGGAGAGAATTTGGGGAAATTCTCTGACTTGACCAAAGTCAGGCCACCTGGAGTGTTGTAAGAAGCTGCCACAGGCTCCTCCCACTGCTGGGGTGCAGGGAGGAGGGCAGTGGTCCAAACAGCACCAGACCCCAAAAACCAGAACAACACAATAAAAGAAGCCCTGGCAAAACCAGGCACAAAAATTGAGTGACAGCAGCATCATTCCCGCCACTTGGTCCTTTCTCAAATATCCAGAATTCCTGGGCTGGCCACAGAAGAATCCAGAAACTGGGAGGGTCACCCCGTACCTTTAGGCAATCGAAGACAAATTGTCCCTGTCGCACATTAAAAAGCAAAGCAGGACTCACTACCTCTTAGTTATTTCTGACCCACAGCAACCTTACACGGCAGGCCTGTGAGTTCCTGAGACTAACTTCCTGGGAGTAGGAAGCCCTGTCTTTCTCCCGCAGAGTGGCTGGTGGTTTTGAACTGCTGACCTTACGGATCGCAGCCCAGGGCTCCTGTCACATGCTGGGTGTCACAAAAGCATGTGACCAAGAAGGAAGCCAGAGCTATGACTGGGTGGGGCATTTAGTCATGGCCGTGGACTTAACTGTGACCCACTTTAAAAAAATGTTGATCTTTCTGGCCCTTGAACCTGGCGATGAGATCCTCCCTGGAAGTAAGGGAGGATCTTGTGCTGTGCTAAGGAGGCCACCGCAGAGAGGGCCACGCGGACCCAGGGTGTGGGGACAGGAGCCACGTGAGGACGGCCTGCAATGCCTGATGAATCAACATGCCTGGGGCCCTGGCTTGGATGTCAGATCCCAGAACTGTGGAGAGAGTTGTACACTCTTGAGGCACCCACGGGTGGTTATGTTTCAGCCACACTGGGAAACAAGAACACCTGTTCATGAACATGAATCCCACGAAAAAGTTGATGGTTGCAAACAAGGAGCCTCAGAGAATCTTTCTGAGAGACAGACCATGCTGGCCCTGGCCCTCCCCAAGGGAAAGCTCGGACAAAGCCTTCCACGCAGGTGAGCAGAGCCAGCACCCAGCCCGGCCGCCTTGGAATCCCAATGAGCTGGTTCAGGTGACCATCTGAGTCATATGACATCCCCAGGTGAGGTGGCCAAGAAGAGGCCTTCCCACCACAGTCTGGGATGGGGGCACCAAACCTTCCATCACACTCAGGGGAAACCCCCAACCAAGCCTCATGACCCCACCCTCCATCTCCACACTGGGGACTCTCCACCCTCCTTCTCCAAGGCCTACCGGTCTGTAAACAGGGAGGCTTCTTTTTCCAAATCGCACCCCGGTGTTTCTCTTCCTGGTCTTTCAGGACCTTAGAAAGGCCAAGCCCTCCCGCTGGCTGCCAGCCCTCCTCCCCTCTCTCCAGAGGCATCTGGTACCCTGCCCTTGGTGGGAGCAGCTGGAATGTGGCCCTGTCCCCAGGGAGCCCATGCTTACTGCAGGCTCAGGCATCATCACACCGTGGTGACTGGCCTCATCTATGGCCAACGTGTGTGGCTTCTGCCAGGGCTCAGAGTGGAGCTGCCCAGTGTAGCACAGGGAGTCGGTGGATGACTGCTCCCTCCGCAGACAGTCAGGGCCTTGCTGAGCTCTGGGTTGTCTTTCCCTAGACCCTAAGGAGCCCCAGTGAAGCAGTGACTACGAGTTTGCTACTAACCCAAAGGCCAGGAGTTCGAAACCACCAGCTGCTCCTTGGAGCAAGACAAGGCTTTCTACTCCTATAAAGAATTAAGGTCTTGAAACTCATAGGGGCAGGTCTACCCTGTCCTTAAAGGGTCGCTATGAGCTGGCATCAGCTCAGTGGCAGTGAGTTTGGTTTTTAAAGTAGAACTTGAGGAGCCCTGGTAGCAAAGTGGTAGTATGTTGGGGTGCTAATTGCACTAGCTGCACTGTGGAAGAAGGCTGAGGTTTTCTACTCCCGTAAAGAGTTGCTGTCTCAGAAACCCATAGGGACAGTTCTACCCTGTCCTGTAGGGTCACTACATGTCAGATCGACTCCATGGCGGTAGGTTTTGCTTTGTCGTCTTTTGGAATCAGTACGAGATTTGGAATAGGGCGACACGCAGCTCTCTTCTCCTAAAGAAAACAGGCTTTCTGGAGTATCCGGAAGTCAGACAAGACAGGAGACAGAATTCTAGACGCTTCATCCATCAACATTCAGTATCTCAGGCATACGAGTCCCATGGAGGTGGAGGAAAGGGTGCATTTGGGGACATGCTAAGCCAGCCACCTACACTAGTGTGGTGCCGAACGGACTGTCTGCTGGACACAGGACACACTGCACCATCCATCAAGTTCAGAGATGGTGCTCCTGTGGGCAGGGTTTCTCAGGGACTCGGGACACGGATGCTGTGTCGCCAGCTCTGTTTCCAGCTGATGTCAGCCTGACGCTCCATCCTCCCTCATCTGAAGGGAACTGCATCTCACCTTATTCCAAACGACCTACGGCTTCCACACCCAAGAGGAGTGTCACGCCCGTACCACTGGGGCAGAAGCAGGGAAGGGGAAGAGCACCCTCGGCAGAAGCCCCGGCCCATCACCCAGAACACGTCTAACCTGCCTGCTTTCCATCAGGACCGAGAAAGAGGAATGGGCGGTCTCAGAGACCTCTGTGGAGCCCCTTGGTGTGATCTCAGGAGGCCCAGGGCCATCAAGTACAGCCTCACAGGTTTCACACAGCACCGGGCCGGCAGCAAACCCTAGGATGGCCATGGTGCCCCGTGGCCACGTGCAGTGTGAATGCCTCAGGAGGAGGACTGTGCCCCAAGATCCCCCACCATCACTGGAACCCCGGGACTTAGACTGAGTCTCCAAACCACAGGGACATCTCTCTTTTTTTAAGAGCAGACTAAGTGATTCCTGAAATGAGACGCCGACTCTCCCGATCCTAAAGGAAAGGCCTTGGAAGAAAATACCATATACGTATACTCATGCATAAGCCGAGTTTTTCAGGCACGTTTTAAATGCGGTTTTTGTGGTAGAATTAGGTGCCTCAGTGGATATTCGGGTTGGCTTATTCTTGAGTATATACGGTACTCTCTGAATACGTGCTTGTTTTCCTCGTCACCATAGTCAGGCTCTGCCTTGAACATCTCCAGGCTTCCTGCCCTCCCTCCCTCCCCTCTGGTTGTGCAAGAGCTGACCCAGGAAATGAACATGTTCCCGGCCTGGAGCTCAGCTGTCCACCAGGGGGCAGGAGGCTCAAGGCCACACAGAGCAGGCCCCCCAAAGGGCCTCTCTGCTTTAGGGAGTGGGCAGAAAGATGACCTCCTGCATCAGGCTTTCTGTGTACAGACATGCACGGCCATCTTTACCTCTCAGTGCCCCAAGACTGGGGCCACTGTGGCAGGTGACGCTGAGAATCCAGAGGCGGCTGACATCAGCTGGTGACCTTGTATATCCAAGATTCCCCGCCCATAGGTGACCTCCAGGAGTCACCAAGCCCTGAAAGGCAGCCCCTCCCCCAGTCCATCAGGCGGTTAATGGGAGCTGCTGAAGCCACAATCCACTCGCGCAGCAGCCCAGCCCTGCACTGAGCACTCACGTTGTAGGCCCAGCCACGGAAGGGGTGGGGGGCCACTCGACAGGCTTGTACTGAGGGATACTGGGGATGAGCTGAGCACCCCTCCTGTCTGGAAGAAGGGGACCTGGGGGTGCAGTGGTGAAGTGCTGATCTGTGACCTGAACTAGCTAGAAGGAGGCGGGGGTAGAGGTGGAGACTTGGCAGCAATCTGCTTGCGTCAACTGTGTACCAGAAACAAACCCCCAACTCTGTGGAGTCCATGCTGACTCATGGTGGCCCTGCAAGACAGAGCCCAACTGGTCCGCAGGCTGGCCTTCCAGGGCTGGACATCTCTGTGGGTGCAGAGAGCCACCTCCTTCTCCCTCAGAGCAGCTGGTGGGTTTGAACCTTGAGATTCGCAGGCAAATGCTTAACCCAAGACACCACCAGGGCTCCTCTGTAACGCTGACTGGCTGGCCACACCTCCGGGGCAGTTCGACTCTGTCACACAGAGTGGCAACGCCTGGATGAGGGCTCCAGGGCCAGTACAACACAGCAACATGCCTGCAGGATGGGCGGGCCCAGCAAGGCTCTGCCTCTCGGCCAGGAGGCCCAGCAGAGTGAGGCAAGGGTCACAGAGCCTGCTGAGCCAAGCAGCTGTCCCCGTCACTTGTGATCCTGAGGCGGCCACGGGGACTGGCATAGCGTCAACTCAGCACGTCCAGTACAGGGCCAAGATCACGCTGTCTGCTGCCTTCTCACAAGCTGGCTACCCAGTGCGCCTCGGGCCCACCCAAGTCTGGTCTCATCTCCCACAAGCCCCCTGCTCCCATCAGCACTTCACACCCCCAAAGTCCAGCCCCTGTGTGGTTGGGGCTCTTCATCCAACTCTTCCCTCAGGGATTGTAAATTGGGCCAGTCCTGGGGGGGTGCTCAGGAGAGACCATCCCTGGAGAACCAGCCAGCCCCTCTAGGAAGCCAAAGACCAAACCCACTGCCAGGGAGTAGATTTCAACTCAAGGCACCTCCCGGGCACAGCAGAACGCCCTCCAAGTTTTCAGACTCTCAAGTCTTTATGGGAACAGACGAAACAGTCCTCTTTCAGCTGTGCAACAGCAGCTGGTCTGAACCACCAACCTTGCGGTGAGCAGCCCGATGCTGAACCTACAGCGCCATCAATCGTCTCAGATCACCAAACCAGCAAACCTTAGGCGGTAGCCATGCCAGGCCACCCTGCCTACCAGCTGTTGGCCAGGAGCGTGCGGGCAGAACCAGGGCGCAGTCCGCCCGACTCTCGGGGCCATTTCAGCCTGCTTATCTGTGCGTCTGGCACCTCTGTGCAAACGGATCCACCCAGTGCAGAGCCGGCCAGAACCCGGGGGAGACTGGGTCAGATGGACAAGCGAGGGCGCGCAGGGCCCTCGGACGGACGAACGGGGGTGTGCGCGCCCCAGGCGCACGGCAGCCAGGCCCACCCCGCAGCCGGCCGGGACGCATCATACCCGCTGAGTGGCGTGGTTTAGCATCTCCTGCCAGGCCGAGTCAAACTGCCGCTTGTCATCTTCCAGCAGCCGCTGCTCGGCCAGGGAGATGGTCTCCTTGGCTGCACGCAGCACCTCGGTGGCCCTCTGGAAGTCCTGCGTCGCTTTCTGAGCTTCCAGCTGAGCCTGCGAGAGAAACAGGCCCGTGAGGCGCTAGGGAAGGGCAGGGGCTCACCGTGCAGGGCACCACTCCCATTACAAACAGGAGACCCCAAGCCCTGTGGCGCACTCCACCCACCTCCGGCCTGGTGCCAGGAGGCCCCTGCAGGCGCTGGGGTGGGAGGGAGGGCAACGCACCACTCCCACAGGCTGCCGCCGCCCACCGCAGCACCAGGTCACGGCTTCCCCAGCTTTTTCCACTTCCAACCCGTTTCCACGTGAGAAATCTGCAACGCGGGCAGGTACTGCCAGCAACTCCTCCCATTCACGCTGCGCTGGAGGTTGAGTGAAGTGTTGGTTGCTGCGGGTTCACAAAGCTTGCACTGCTGCCAAATGTTCCGAGACCCCCCACACTCAGTCCAGTGACCTCTTACAGCGCCACGACCCACAGCATGCGCAGCTTTGGGCTCGTGAGCACGCCAGCCCTCGGCAGGGTGTAGGGTGGTCAGCCAGGCCTCATGAGACAGGCCCGGGCAGTTGGTCTCACGCACCTGGCAGGTGAGCCTGGCGCCTTCCTTGCTCTGCTCTGAGCTTGGTTCGGGGCAGATCAGAACCGCGAGGACTCCAGAGGCGAGGGCCCACTGAGCGCCCCTCTCCTGCTTCTGGCTGTCGCTGTGGTTCTAGGAAACCTCAGGGTGACTCAGGTGGCCCAGCTGGTTCATCGTCAGCCTCCAGCCCTGCCAGTCCCAACACAGGGGCCCGCCCTGCCAGCGTGCCCCACTCAGCTCACACTTGCCAGCAGAGCGGTGTCCGCACACTGCCCAGCAGGCTGGCAGAAGGGCTAACAGTGCGGCACAAAACCAACCCAACAACCCCCTTGCCAGGGAGTTGGTGCCTGCTCCCAGCAACCCCGGAGGGCCGAGTAGAACTCCCGGGGTGAGTTTCCCAGACGCTAACGCTTGCTGGAGGCTGAAGGCCTCCTCTTTCTCCTGTGGAGTGGCTGGTGGCTTCGAACTGCTGAGCTCTCGGATCGAAGCCCAGCTCGTAACCATTAGGCAATCAAGGCTCCTAGGAACTCGGTAAGGGAGGCCAAATAAGATACCTTGCTTAAATACGTTCCCCTATTTCCTTTTATTTGTGTTTCGTTTTAAGTGGCTACTAGAAATATTTCTGTTGGATGCGTGGCTCCTGTGAAACAGACACACACCCACAAGAGAGGGTTGGCTGGGTGATTGCTTCAGAGATTCGCCTACCGACGGTGGTGGCCACAGGGCAGGTCCACCCTGAATTCTGAGCAGAACACTAGTATGCCATTCCCCACAGCTGGCCCCATGAGGGGCCTCCTCGGGGACTGTCCTGGGTTATTGGGGCCATAAACCAATGCCCCTGGAGTTGCCCACGGGGCACTCCCTCTGACTGAGGAGGGGAGGGGGCCCAGGGACCCACACCCATGACCAGAGGGGTGCTCACATGACTCAGAAGCCACAGGCTGAGGACACTTGAGAGGAGACCCAGGGGGAAAAACCCCAGCTTTGGAGCACAGCCTCCATGTCCCCACCCCGTGCAGGGGACAGTGGCCTCTCATCTCAGAGGGGCCAGCCCAGGCCAGTTCTGGACCCCAGCGCCCTGGAGCTGATGGCTACTGGGTCAGCGAGATGAAGCTCCCAGGGGAGACGAGATCCCTGACAGCGTCCATTTCCCCCCCAGGCTCTGCAGCGACCCACGGGGTTTTCACTGGCTATTTTTTCAGATGCAGCGCCTCAGGCCTTCTTCCCAGCCTGTCTGTCTGGAAGCTCCACTCTGAGTGTCCGCCACGCTGACCACACTGGAGAGTGAGATGGCGGGAGCCCACCCCGGCTGCCACGGGCCAGTCGGAAGCCCAGACGCGACCCTCGAGGACTCCAGCGCAGTGGGACCCAGGGGCCAGCCCACTCTCGGGAGTGCCCGTCTACCCTCTCAAA